ATCTTAACGGTCTGAAATCGGAATAAAAAATAAAAAACATGCAATTCAAATAACTCAAAAATCGTTAACTTTTGGTTAAGACATGATAGGACAAAATCGGTTGCTTTTGACCTAATCTATCACCCCTTAATAGGAATACGTGACATTACAAGTCACCCTGTATAACGTTCGAGTAGGGTAAGATGTCGTACTTGCTCTTTGTCAAATGCGAAAAAATAGACAACCATTTGAAAAAATGGTGCCAAGTAAGTGGACTAATATCATGTTTGGCACAAGTTAGCCCGTTTTAGAAAAAGTCCACTACGATCATGAATAACAAAAGAATTGAATGGATCAAATCAGCATCAGCCTAATAGGCAAATTTATCTGATGGTGTAAAAATATACGGGATGTTCCATTTAAAATTTTTTAGACAAAAAACGTTTTGCGTTTTGTAGCACTCTGATAAAGTTGTCGAAGATATGAAAAATTAGGCGAATTGGCAGAAGTCAAGGGTAGTCATTTTCTTCAGACGACTGATAAAGTACTTAACTAAACAAATGGTATTAAAAATCCTAATATCTACTATAATCTGGGGTATTATTAATTTAGACATATGCACAGCTTCTCTATTAAACAACTTTCCATTTTTGTTGGGACACAAATTTTGTAGGCGTTCACGTGAGTTTTATTATATCATGTAGTTCCATAAGTACATTACTGCATTAAAGACGAGCTAGTTTTCGTAAAATGGTGGCAGACGCACCCACCAGGGCTTAAGCACCAAACCTTTAACAGCCTGTATACCCAATAGAAAACATTTCTGGGCTTTGCGTCCATTAGAACATTTCATCAGCACAACATGACATATAACTATATGAATCTTCTTTCAAATTGACCAACCAAATTCCATCTGCTTTGTGCGTGGTACCTCGCAATATGTACATCAATAAAGTCAAGTTGAAGGAGTGCACTTGCTGAGGGCTGTTTTTCATTGTTTTGTCATCTTGCCCCAGAGGTGGAGCACTGATTACCTTGCACACATATAGTGGCACCAACCTGAAATTCTCTGTAAAAGCTGAGCGTAACCTTACTTTTTAGCAGTCATCGGCCACGCGAAAATTTTTGGTCCGAATCATCTCAGCTAGGCCAATCATATTAGCAAATTTCACCAAAATAATTATCAAGTCTGGTTTTATTGATGCAAGTTGTTTAATGGGGTATTTAAAACATGAACACATAAAACGAGTATATCAATTTTTGTGGGAAAACTTTTTATTCGACAACAAATAATGAGGAAACAGGTTTTTTGGAATTCAATCGATAGTGTTGTCAGGGACCAAAAAATTCTTCAACTAAGATTTTTAGATATTTATGAGACTGACAGAATGAGTCCACATTGTGACGATAATTTCACGTAGCTACTTGAAATTCTTCAAATCCATAACATCACAACCACAACAAAATTGGAGTTTATTGGTCAACAGGCTTTTGAGAATTTTTGATTGTTTATCCCAAAATACCTGTCTTCCGGCCATCATTACTAGTTTACTGAGCAATATACAGGGTTCGTTCAAAGGGTATTGTATAGCGAAATCCACGAGTTTACCTTGCCGCCACGAATTACAAACCATTCCGAAAGAGAATTGTCATTTTCATGCGAAAAACACAGAGGATCAACAATTAGAAGGTCTCAAAGACTACTTGACCAATCGACTCCAATTTTTTTGTTGTCTGCGTGAAACTATCGTCGCATTACCAAGTGCTAAGACCTGCATATTGCCTACGTGTTCGAACATAACTTTGTTACTATTAGTCGGATCTTTTTACGTGTGGTCTCATTCTGTGGGCCTCATTTATATACGAGTATATAAATGAATCCTTATTTTGCGTGTTCACGCCATAACTTTAGAACGGCTTTACCGATTTCATTCATCTTTGCTTTAAAAGTTTCCTACTACTGTATGAAAGGTTCTTACGAAAATACTAGTCAAGAAAATCGCGCTGAAAATTGTGAAATCATTGAAAACATAATGACTACTTGAGCCACGCGCGTTTAACAGTTCGCTTGATCTTGGAGCACGCACAGCAGAAAAAATATTTCAAGTACCAAAAGAGACAGGCACTCCTCTCCGCCATCTTTATTCCAACAGCTATGACAGATAACTATGTGAAAAACAATTGATTATGAAAACACGTTGTTTTTGGACTTTCATTTCTTTACCATCCGTGCTTTGTGATGGCCCCTTCAAAAGAAACTGCAGTGTTGCCTAATTGTTATCTTCGTCAGTTAACTCTTTGAATCAAAATGTCGGATTAAAATACGTTTCTCTTGCTTAATTGACTTTCATCATCATTTTGAACCTAACAGCTCGCACGCCGCAAATTTATAATATCGCTTGACAGTGTTTATCGATGAAATATAATTTATTCATTCAATTAGTAGTGCACAGTCCATTCGATTAGAGCTTTTATCCAGTTTTCAGTTTGTTCAGAGAGTCTTTTGAGAAGTATTTGCTCAAAAATAATTAACAAGCGTCGAAGTTACTTCACCGCAATCACGCCTTATATTAAAATTATAATCCTTCAAAATGTCACTGATTAGACGTACCAACCTAGGTCGCAGAAATCGCAATGCTGCGAGTCAAAGATACATACGTTGATATTGGATCAATGAACGTTGTGTGTCCATATTGCAAGGTTTTTAAGTTTAAAAATGAAGCCCCTGGATTACGTTGCGCCAGTGGAAAAGGCAAATTGACTCTATTGATACCACCACCAGAGACATTAAATTCATTGGTTTCCGAAAATGGGTCAGATTCTATACATTTTTTGACTCATATCTACCAGTACAATAACTGCTTTCGAATGACGTTATTTGGCCCAACAAAAGTCATTCAATATAATTTTATGCCTAATAGCCACATATATTTACCTTATCGTTATTCATTATTCATCCCTGTTCATGGCTAAGACATCTGTCGGGTCAGCTAGTAAAAATCTTATTTAAAGAGTTTTTTTCGTTCCTGCCAACATTTTCGATTGAATCCCAAAATACACGTTGTCTCATTCTTTGTTGTCGAATAAAAAGTTTTTCCACAAAAATTGGTGTACCCATTGTATGCGTCCATGATTTAAATACCCCGTTGAATAACTTGCACCACTAAAACCAGACGTCACAATTATTTCGCAAACCAGGGGTATTTTCGTCTAATTTGTTTAGACTATTATAGTGTTTGCCTAGAGAGAGAAAATGGAAGATCGACCTTACGTTGTAGATTAGTTTAGCTCTTTTAAGTTCCTAGAGTTCCAGAATTTATTTTATTGGTGCTATTGCTGTCAGAATATTTCAGTATCAGTATGTTGGCTTGTTATTCAATAAAATGTCGCAAAGCCTGCTACAAGCTCTGAAATACTTCTGTTTACTTACATTGCTGTATAGCAAAAATTGTAATAGTGGGAAAAACAGATTTATTGAAAATGATGATGGTGAATTTGATGCATAAATATTATATTCTAGCATGAAATGGCAATAAAGCATCCCAGGATGGCGGCTGGCCACCATCTGAGAGCATTGTTTTAAACAGAATGTGGGGTCACGTGATATTTGATTTTAAAGCTCCTTATGACTTACTTTAGACAATGAGTCCCCAACCAGGGAGGCGCGCCTCCCAAGGGGTGCGTAGAGAGATGTCAAGGGGGCCGCAAAGCGTTTGCATTTTAGAAAGAAAAAACAAAAAAGAAATAAACAAACAACATTAACAAATAATATCACAATGTAATGTTTAATTTACACGCATAGAATTAAATATCATATTTACTTATTCTGTCAACCGCTGTTTCAAAACACGGCGTCTTCAATCGCAGTTTATACAAGATTCACAACATGAAATCCGCGCGCACCCCCGCCTGCTCCGCTTAACATTCATCACTTAGAATACAACTATTTACCTACCAGACGCGGATGAGCATCTGTGACATTCATTCCCACAAACTTGCGAAACATTTGACGTTTCGATGTTCATGTTTTGTTGAGCAATCTGTTTGAGTGTGTCAAATTAATGTGTCTCACTGTTAAAAGGTAAGTTTGTGTATTTACAAAATTCAGTTACCATTCTTATTTAATTTACTAAATTGTTGATTGAGTGGAGACGCGTTCATAGATGGGCCATTGGGACTTTTTTACCACATCACAATCAAACCAACGTGGCGAAATAATTTTGAAACGACGAACTTCAAGTACCTATTATTAATTCCAAATGTATTTAAAATTACTATTATAACGTCAACCTGCCTACAAAAATATAAATCTCCCGGTGGAAAATATACTGTTCAATACATTACGTTATTAAGATAAAATAATGGGCATATAATTAGTAATTACATGTAGGTATTTTGCTTATTTATTTATTACTAATTTGTTTTATTGTTATAGGTGCAAAATGTCAGCGAAAAAAAGAAAGCTTTCCGAAGATTAGGTTAAGTTTTGATTTACCTTCATAGAAAAAGGCTAGTTACAATTGCCTCAGTATGTGATATGTATGAAAGTTTTAAGTAATGATAGCATGAGGCCCAATCGCCTTGAAAGGCATTTGAAGCAACAGCATCCTACTCTGGTTTTGAAGACGAAAGAGTTTTTTTCTTCTAAAGCAGAATCACTCAAGCGGATGAGACTGGATAAATAGGGAAGTAATCACACCGGTGTACCGCAGCATCTCAAAGCAAAGCAAAAGAAACCTCATACTATCGGTGAAGAACTAATAAAACCATGTGTCCTAAAAGCCACGCTGATAATTTTAAGAGAAGATGCGGAGCAAAAAATTAAGTCTACTTCTCTTTCGAATAACACAGTCAAGCGTAGAGTCGATGACTTGCAGCAGACATAAAGTCACAAATAATTAACAAAGTAAAATTATCGCCATTTTTTTGCCATTAGTTGTGATGAATCCACCGACATCGTTAATTGTGCATAGTTAATAGTTTATGTTCGTTACATCGGCGGAGAGATCATTCAAGAAGAGATGTTGTACTCCCAATCTTTGACAGCAGGTGCTACAACTGAAGATATATTTAATTCAATATCAAATTTTGTTGAAAAAAATGACTTGGATTGGAAGAAACTCATTGCACTTTGCACCGATGGCGCACCTGCAATGATAGGTGTACGATCGGGCTTAGCTAAAAAGCCACAGAAATTACGCCAGACTTTGGACTCGGCTATCAGGATTGTAAACTACATAAAGAGCAGCGCTTTGAACAGTCGGTTATTTACTTTACTTTGCGAGGATCTCAATTCTGATCACAAAGTTCTTCTGTTCAATACAGAAGTAAGCTGGCTATCCAAAGGCAACATGTTGGCTCGCCTTTATGAATTGGAAGAAGAAGGAATTCTTTTTCTAGAGTTCAAAGAAAAACACTATTTCTTGACAATGTTCAGAGATCACACATTTCAATGGAGGTTGGCTTAGTAAACTGACATATTTGACTCCTTGAATGAGCTAAACTTGAAACTTCAGGGCAGAAACAACACTATAATACGGAATTATGATTATATCCAGGGGTTCATATCAAAACTTTGGAATGAAAAAGTGTCTTCTGAAAATGTTATATCTTTTTCTCGGCTGTTCGAAGCAATTAAAAATAACATACTCGACGCAAATTCAAAGTTAACATAAATACTTATTTGCAAGCGCTGAAAGACGAATTACGCCGATACTATCGAGACATCAATTCGAAGTCACCAATATGGCACATGACAAGAAATCCATTTGTTGTCGATGTGTCACAATCACCAGAAGAAGTTCATGAAGGATTTCTAGAAATGGAAGCTGATTTGTCCATGAAAGATGACTTCCATATTTTAACAGTGGAGAAATTTTGGATAAAAAGATTGCTTGTTAATTCGGCACTTGCCTCTATTGCTTTACGAATAATAGTTTCTTTTTCTTCAACTTAATTATGTGAGAGAGGCTTTTCTGCTCTAGTTTTAATTAAAACTAAACAGCGAAATCGTCTTGATGTCGATAGCGACCTGATGATAGCTCTGGCAAAAACAGAACATAGAATCAACAAACTGGTACAGAACATGCAATCTCAAGTATCTCATTAGTACCTACTCTTATTTTATTCAAGTGCTTCGATAAAAACATTTATTAGTTAATTCAGACTTCTGAAGTTTCTTTATTAGAATTAAAATAAAAGTCTTTGTACCTATACAGGGTGTGCCGAAAAAAGTATGCAATATTCTACTAGCGGTTTCTAGACCTTAAAATAGGAAGAAAAGTGCATATAAACATAGGTCGACAAACGTCCCCTAAGCGCGCTCCGGTCTTTTAAAGGGGCTCCCCTGAAAATGGTTTTTCCTTAATATTTCCGAAACGTGTTGAGATAAAGACATAAAATTTGGTATTCTAGCCTAGTTTTTTATGCTGGATTCAAAAGTATTAACAATTTTGGACAGTTTTGTTTGGAAGCGTATGTAACAGGGTCGAGCGCAGTTTATTTGAGCCCCAAAATTTTTGTGTGATTCTGTTTTTGAAATTCAATTTAAGAATTTGGAAATTTAGGATTTTCTACATAAAAAAGGTACTCTTATTGAATATCGATAAATTGTGCCATTTTTGAATAAGATCAAACTAAATAATTTGTCACATGATAAGAAATTTAAATGAATTGTTGATTATACATAGTTAGCCATGGCTGCAAACAAAAGTTGTTTTGATTTGTTATGACTTATTTTGACGTTAAGCTGACATTGTTAGCAATGTAAAATTACTAGATTAAAATCAAAATTTTTATTAAATCGATTTAAAATGCCAAGATTTACAGACAGAGAACTGACTGACATGCATTTTGTGTACGGGTTTTGCAATGGCAGTTCATTGGCAGCCCTAAGAGAATATCAAAGAAGATTTCCCAATCGCATAGTACCTGGACGTCGAATGTTTACTGATATTCACCGAAATTTGTCAAACCATGGAAGTTTTCAGCCCATGCAGGGTTCAGGAAGACCACTGGGAAATCATCATATGGATATTGCCTTAAATATGTTTGAAAATAATCCGCAAATAAGCATACGAAATGTTTCAGAAATTATGGATACACCTCGATCAATAGTAAGAAAAATTTATGAATACCTATTTGATAGTTATCCTAAAAATAATAATTTTCTATAGGAAGAATGACAAGAATGCAAGGATTACATCCTTATCATTTTAAACAGGTGCAGCATTTAACGGAGGCAGATTTTTTACCACGAATCGAGTTTTGCCAGTCGATATTAGCAAATGAAAACACTATTTCTAGAATATTATGGTCGGATGAGTCAATATTTACTAGGAATGGCGCTCTTAATTTCCATAACATGCATCACTGGTCAGATGAAAATCCAAAAGTTCTTCGCCGTACAAATTTCCAACATAGATTTTGGGCAGGAGTAATTGGGGATCAAGTAATTGGGCCTATTGTACTTCCCAATCGTCTTAATTCAGAGGTGTATCTGAACTTTCTTCAGAATGAACTCATGGATATAATACCATTGCATGTGCGCCAGCAGTTTCAAGAAAATATGTTTTTTCAACATGATGGTGCCCCTGCACATTTTGGACGCAATGTTCGAAATTGGTTGAATGTCAATTTTCGAGACAGGTGGTTAGGCCGAGGAGAAGAAAAAGGATTTCCACTTTTCGGGCTACGCAATCATTAGTTCCTCGAGCGAGACTCTGTATCCAACAAAATGGGAATTTATTTGAACACTTATTGTAAAGTTAGTTTTAAGTATATCCAACCGTATGTCTGCTTTTTTAAACAAATTTCAATTTCGTTCGTAGAAAAAATGTATTTCTTTTGTTTTTGCCTAAATGTTAGCTATGTTGCAATAGAAATATGTATTTATGTAATATTTACCAATTATTAAAGTAGTTTTTTCGTTGCCATGGCGAATTATTCAACAATTCATTTAAATTCGCAGTAGATTTCCTATCATGTGACAAATTCTTTAGTTTGATTTTATTCAAAAATGGCAAAATTTATTGATATTCAATAAGAGTATCTTTTTTATATAGAAAACCCTAAATTTTCAAATTCTAAAACTGAATTTCAAAATAGAACCACACAAAAATTTTGGGGTTCACCTGCGTCCGTCCCTGTTACATACGCTTCCAAACAAAACTATCTAAAATTGTTAATATTTTTGAATCCAGCGTAAAAAACTAGGCTAGAATACCAAATTTTATGTCTTTGTCACAACGCGTTTCGGAAATATTAAGGAAAAACCATCTTCAGGGGAGCCCCTTTAAAAGACCGTAGCGCCCTTAGGGGACGTTTGTCGAGCTATGTTTATATAAACTTTTCTTCCTATTTTAAGCTATAGAAACCACTGGTAGAATATTGCACACTTTGTCAGGACACCCTGTATAATGTTCATTTTTTGTATTTATTGAAAAGTAAAGGGGTGCATGAAAATATAATTTAGAGTCCGGGGAGCCTCAACAAAAAAAAAAAGGTTGGGAAACCCTGCTTTAGACTCATAGATTATAAAATGCCATTTTCCAAAATGGGTAACTGGTAGACTGTCAATGTTGTGCGTTACTGTGCATTTAATTGCTTGTAAGTCGTCAATTAATAACCACTTTTCACACAACACTTCTTCAATTGGAAGAGTTTATCCGAAAATGTAATAAAATGCAACACTCAAAAAAAATTCAAAATCTATATATTTTTGCACATTCAAGCATACAGAAGAAGATTTATATAGCGTTTTGATGATTGGCTGTTGAGTTATAAGCGATTTCGTGTAGAAAATGCTCAACTTTGACAACCGGACAACAGCAGAATAACAAGGTACTGATAAGTAGATTCGGAATTCTCATCCCAAATTCCAGCTAGCTAACTCGATCCATTCAAAAAATATGTAGTATGGGGGGAAGGGGTACTGAAAAAACTGTATGTATAATGAGTACAGGTAAAGTGTGCGTTACCGCTTCGAGTATAGTCCTTGATAAGTCCATGGGTTGAACCTTCATATCAAAACACGTTAAGAAAATACTATACAGGAATATTCAGTAATAATTCTTGATAGAGGACGTTTTTCTGGTGGTAGTGCTGGCGATGCTCATGCGAATTACAGGGACAAGTTCTTTTAAGCTGGAGTGGATAGAACCATAAAATAATTTCGTTTATCTATTAGCGTAATCAGACAACTAAGAACTTACCCACAAGTACTTACAAGGTCTCCTTTAGAGTTACATTTGTTTCTTCCGGCGCCTACGCAGATATTTTTATAGATATTGCAACACTTTCCACTACGGTCTCACACAAAAAATTCGTTACAATGAGGTGTTACACATACAAAATTTAAAAAAATTTGATAATTTTGGCGTTTGGCAGTCTGAGTCTGACCAACTTACTACGAGAACTAGTCCTTACTTTTTTATCCGTTTTGCTTTAGGATTCTATTTCTTCTTTGGGGTGAGTTTTTACTTACGTGGAGCAAGTATTTATTGTTTATTTTTGTTCACGTTACAGCGAGTGTCTGCTTGACTTTTCTTGGGAAAAAGCATTAAATAATTTTTAACTGAACCAACATTTTCAATTCGCGGCTGAGTCAAAACTTCATTTAATGAAATTAAAGTTGCAATGCTGTATAGCTTCCTTTATAAACCCCAGCATCGCGCACTGAAACACGAAACCTCAATTTAATTGGGGTTGGGTAGCATTAGTTCCCTGTCAATCTAATTAAACGCCCCTAATTGGTGTTCAGGATATTTCTGTGGAGAATTTCATCAGCATATATCAATAAGCGACCAGTACATGGTATTATCATTAAGGTGCACTAGGGTTGTCATAGTATGGGATCTCATAGACCATGTAATTTCCACGATATTAACGGGTAGAAATTCGGAAAGCTTATACATATAGCTTCAAGGTCAGATTATAATTATTATTATTAATTATAAGCGGTCCATCGGTAAATATGCCAACGTGACGCAGGCTGAACAACCTTAACTGCAAAGGAAAAAAAACATTAGAATATATCGGGATATCAGAGAAACAATACTGATTCTCGACTGTTGAAAACTCACAACGAGAACAGTGCTAGATTGGCATTTGGCACCTTTCATTACCTTGTAAGAGCAAATATAATGATGAAAACAGCAACTGAGACGCAGACTGGATTTGGAAAAGCATGTTCTCCTTTCCGTAACAGACGACCTTAACCAATTGGCCTACAGCATTGTCAATCAACTTCCAGGATCGGCTGTTAAAGGATAGTTCAACAATTTTCAACATTCACTGTTGGAGATGTAACATACACAAACTTTGGCCCGGCATTTAAGCGTGCTTCTCAACTTGAAACGGGTGACCAATGTTATTTTTTAGAACCGAGTGTAGAACCAGCTTACATATGAGGAACCATCGACCCAAGGTAAATGTATCCAGTTACAAAATGGCGACGGGCGACAATACT